TGTCGTGGCTTTTGATGTCGAAACTGCTACAACTAGCTGCCGCCAAATTCAGCATACCGTTTGCTTTACGTCTGACAGCTGCTGAAATAGAAGCAGTTCTCGATTAAATCATTCAAGAAAACAACCAAACGAGACCAATTAGTAAGTGGCCAAGATGTCAGTTGCTCTCTAAAAATGGTTCTACTAGTGGTATAATTCCTTCGCTAAGCCAGTGATACGGATCTGATTTTCGCATTGATACCAGAAGTGCCTTACTGACAAAAGTAACCTCTGCTGATTGACGGCAAGCACAGTGCGTGATCTACAATTTATCTGCTATAATCACCTGGATCGGTTGGCAATCAGTGCTGAATGGCGTCGGGCAAAGCATTTCCACCATTCATCACGGTTTAGAGACCTCTTCCTTCCAGTTCGGCGTTTCCACCTTCGTCGTGGTGGGCGACTGAACGACTTAAGTGACAAATGATAGATCATCGCTGACTATCTCCCGTCGGCGATTTCGGCTACGTATCCGATCCATCGCAGCTGCTTCTCCGCGCATTCGACAACAATGTCCTTCACTTTTGACAACTGACTGATCACCGTATCGGGGACACGGTAACGAAGTGAGATTCCTCACATCCATTTGAAGAGATGAGCGAGGGTATCTTCCCTAATGTTGCCAAGGAGGACGTCTTCGATGGAACAGAACGCGCGCCAGCCGGACTTCCTTCTTCGAAAAATCTCTCCCGACTGTAAATCTCGGCCCAGGCAAATGTACTCATCCAGTTCTTCGATCATTTCGCCGTTTAACACTATACGGACCTTCGGCAGGGCATCCAATCGCAGCATCAGTCATAACCATCCTTAGCCAAGTGCAGAAGTGAATGCTACTTAAGACTTGCGGTGATCATTCATCTCAAGACTTCGAATTTTGACAGGTGCTTGCCATGTCGTCAGCTGTTCGCCATACACTGGCAATAAGCATTTGCTTCATCAGCACAAAAATTTTACTGCATTGTTTTCTAAGTACTAAAACGAAAACTGTTAAGTTTCTAGCCGTGGGAATCATCAGTTTATGTTACATTTCTATGATTGACGGTACCTGTCATAACCTTCCTTCGTGGGGCCTATGGTGCAGTGCTGGCATGAATTTCGACGCTACCAGACAGAAATAGCTTAATTTTATGAAGATAGTACCAACAGAAAGTAAACTACTTCTTCCCACTTCTCCAAATTTATTTATCAACCTCGAAAGAACGAAAGACAAATGATCAGGCCAGAATTTGAATATGCGATCAATTGAAGTTTCGAAGTTTATTGTTTAAAGAAAATCGCAAAAAAATAAACGTTCCCTTTTAGCATAGGCAGAAAAATTTAGAGGGAGAATTAAACAACATATAAATATGAGAAAAACATGAAGACAAACCACCTCGCATCTAAAAAATTTCAGTAACCGGCGGATTAAACAATAGTAACATGAGCAATAGAAAAATCAGATAATTATAAATGTTTAGATCATTGGGAATATCTTGCAACCATAAGCTTCAATCGCTCATTGATTTGCTGAGTAGAAAGTTCAAAATCTGCTACTTCACGAATATTTCGAACAGCCATGGAGCAGCTAGAACCTGGCATTATAAAAACCCACATTTCTCAACGGGCAATAAACTCTTAAGGTTGGGCAGCGGGATCATTTAGTTTATGTGGTGCGGTGGAACAGTGTCTAAGAGAATCGGCTTCGAACTTCGGAGGTGCCGGGTTCGATTATGGCGGATGACAGTCTTTGCCTTAATCACGAGCTCTCAAGATCAAGGAATTTACAATACAGTGCTTCAGACTGGTGTTGCTCAGTCGGTAGAGCGTAAGACTTAGAACCTGAAGGTCCGGCATTCCGCTCTGGTCAAGGTCGCTCGTCTTCCTTCCTTCTGAGGTTAATAAATAAATGCCACTCCGTGGAAAAGAAACAGAAACGGGAGACTACACATTATGGTTGCCAAACACCTGCTGTAGAATCTAATCTTAAAATAAGGTACTCTTGGATGATGTAAAGAAAATAGAGATCAGTGTGTCACTACTAACTTCATGAAAAGAAGGCAGCCAGAAATGGCCTCAACATGAAAGTGAAAGGAAGACGGACATTCCAACGGTTACGAAGTTTCCTTCCTTTTTTATTTATTCCTGGCACGTATTCAACAAGCTGCCAGGCCAACAATAGCTGCGGTATTTCCAAACAGCGGTCAAATCGCAGCGCTGCAGCAACGTTATTAATGACAATTTATTCCTCAGATTTCCTGTTTACTTCATAAGCTCAGTCGAATAGGTAAAGGTTGTTCTATAATCCATAAGTGATGACTGTTCACTGTAGATGTGCTCGGTAACAGTCGACAAAATGACAGATTTTTCGACTGCGAGTTTGGTTCTAAACCGATTTCACTATACCCTTCAGTAGATGATTCATCAAAACAATATGCCAGTGCCAGTGCTTAGAGAAGCCTTACTGTACCAATCTCTGTGTCAATGCCATCACTGTTGTGTTCAGTAAACATTTCTGCTTCTTTCCTGATCATAAGTTTGAAACAGTTTATTAAGTATCGTTCACTCAATGTCACATTAAGGTGAAACATCTATAGTGACGAAGCTCAACGCCTTGTAAAAAACAGTAAATTCATTGACATTTAGCAAGCCCGTGTAAGCTGATTTTCTTTCAAATTGAGAAGTATAATTTACAAGTTCACTTACATTGAATTTAATTCAAGCAATATTTTGAATGATTATGAAAATTTCCAAAAGAACAAAATTTATGAAGAAAATCCTGATCTAATGGGTTTACTAGCATACTGCTAGTTTTTGATACCGCCGTTAGGATATATTATCTTTTTTAATTACTGATACATCCGGTATCAAAAACCAAAAAAAAGAACTAAACTTATTTTCTATTATTTACCTACGGAACCAATGCAAGAACTTCCCTGAAACATTTCGATGAGAGAAAACTTCACTGTAGCTAAGAGCAGATCCTCATTCTCAATAAATGACGTGGTTTTGTCCGGCATGACATTTGGGTCGACGTGACCTTAAAACAGAAAATTAACAGCGATCGACTTGCCTACCACGAATAAATACGTACCTTTTAAAACCAAAACGTCCAATACAATCACTGGACATTCGTCGCGACTGAACATATGGTAGACATAGGCAATCAGCTTTTTCATCTGGAATAAAAAAATATGAAACCATATAGCTAGTAGGACTTCACAAACTCTACCTATCCTTCAAATCACGGAGAAACGACCAAGAATAAAGCATGGGATCTCAAGTAGTGCAGCTAAGAGTGCTCTTTGGGAAGCCGCGAGGGCAACTATGGAAGCAAGTCATGCAATCCAAAATGACCATCTGATGAAGCAACGACGAAAGAGAAAGGGTTTAATATCATCGGTCAGCAGTGTCTTGGTTTTCTTTAAAAGTAACATCAACAGATAGATGATCCGTAATCAACATGGTGCGTAATCTCTTTTTTCTCACAGTGGCACTCATATATTCAAACATTAAGGATAAATGACAACTGATTCAGGTAGATTCGAATTTCGGGAGAGAGTGAGGCAGTGGGTTGTAGTATTACTTCATACATCAAATGCCGGGATCGAGTCTACTGCCTGAGGAAATTTTCGCAAAGACACTGCCACTTGCCTTTCAACCCAACTCCCCGTGCTTCCCTGTAGCTAGCTGGGAAACGAGTAGAAAGCTGCTGAATTGAGAATAATAGGGAGGACCCGGTGCCCTAATAAAGTCATGACAGAGCTTGACACGTATTACAATGTTGGCTAACGCGCGCGTTTTACCACTGCAATTTGTATTAACGGACCTGCAAATGACTAATATGAGTCACAATGTGTACCCCGTAAATTAAAAAATGATCTTTCGGTTGGGAGTTCAGTGCTCTATCCCTGAACTACTCAATTCCGCACAACGAAGATCAAGAGGTTACATACCAAAATGCAACCAAGGTAAATCTGACACTCGGGTGGCAAACTGCAGAAATAACTGAGACAACAGTACGCCATAATGTTCAATAATGAGAATGCTAACGCAGAAACATTTCTAATTCGTTCTCTCTATTTGAAAAAGGATGAAACCTATATCATATGGCAGATTGTTAGAAAGTACAATTTTATATGAATGCCGCTAAATTCGTTTGAATGAATTGAAGTCAACAGAAGCCAGATAAAACTCGCTATAAATCCAACAAAAGCGTTTTAGTCTAGGAAAGCAGGCAATGACAAAAATACGCAATCCTATGACAAGGCAAAGAATGGAGAAGCCTTCACAGCTGCCATAGTAGTCGCGTAAACATGTCATAAACTTTAAAACTGTAGATTGACGAGACGGATAGCAAAGAGGTGGTAGATTCAATTTTTCGTTTAAACAAATCTGCCAAGGAGAAGGATACCCAAGGAAAAACCGAAATGAAGGGATTGTGGCATCGTTAATATCTGTTCGGATAAAACCGTGACGAAGAGTTTTCATCATGTGCCATCATGTTATGAAACAAATGACCTCTGTAATTATGATCTGCAGAAGCAATGGGCAGCAAGATGAGAATATATCAATCAATCAAATAATTACGAAACAAATCAGCATAGCGCTTCGACTTGAATCTCCCATATCATATTGAAGATATTCTGCGAGTAATTCAGACACTTCTGGATCATGTTCGTGATATTTCTTCATCATCATTTTTTCGTGGCTGACGTTAGTACTGCCGTGCTAACAACTCTGGCTCTGATGGCGTCAAAATGCTCCACAATCATCCGTGTTACAGTCGACTGCGGCACAACAGTCAAAGATTTACTCCAGTAGTGATCAAACAAACATACAGACATAATTCTATATCAACATACTCAGTAGAAACAGAAACTCTTTTTATACTGTTTGTCACCGTTACAGGTCTAATGAATGGACAAGAAAGGACGGGTTTTCCCCTACGCAGGTGGACCAAATACATGCTACGCGTACATGGTTCCTTGCTGTTCGTGCTCCATTTTCAAAACCTGTCATTTCTTTTCGGTTGCGAGGGTACATAATGCCGATAGAAGTCTTTTTCAATCGTTACACTGCTAACTTGATTGATTGCCATATATAACAAATACTGGGAGACGGAATGGCATCTTTCAAGTAAAATGTGTACCGAGGCACTTCCACAAGAACAATTCGACCTACAAACTATCATGTACAATTCAGAAGATAACTAACCTTAGGAAAATCCGTAGGTCTTTTATTAACGTAAAAGAACTGTCGGTCCGCAGAGGTTCTTCCGAAACCTGGCGACGAAACAAAACCCTGAATCCTAAAAATGAACCGATTTTAACTACATAACTACGACTGTTAAAGACTGTTCGAAACTTGTATTATCATTAGGTTGGCGTTAAAATAAAACGTGAGAAAACTCAGCGAATACCCAGCGTTGCCGGTCACAAGCACGGACGAGAAAGGAAATTGGTTGATGAAAGAGGCGAGGTCTCATAAAATTCTACCACCTCCAACTAATTGTACTGCCGTTATCTTCATCTTCTATTACAGCTTCCAATTTCGGGTCGCGGAGGCAAACGCGCCAGACACAGCTTCCAACACTCCCGATCCTGTGCCAGAGTCTGAGCTTCGGCAAAAGACAAATGGAG